AAACAGGCATAGGGAGCTCTGGTGATGTAATCTGTACTGCTGCTAGCTGAAAAGCCAGGTGCCTCTTTGGTATTCCAACTAGCAGCTGCTTGGACAAGAGGTGGGCAGTCTCTTCCTGTATGATTTACAGCCTCCAAAAACCTACTGGCAGGTCAGTCATGAGTTTATTAATATAGACTCATCAACAACCTGTGGTAGGCAGATGACACAACCTTTCTCGATAAAACTGAAGACCGGAAGCATTTGTTACAGAGGGTCGAGGATTGTCACCTTCAATATGAATTGCATCTCAAAATAAAGGAAGCAAAAATGCTTACCACCAGGCCAATTGACAACACATTGATAGATGGAGAAAGATTGAAGTTGTTAACAATTTCATTATGCTCAGATCCATAATCAACATCCTTGGCACCAGCAGTTAGGAAATCAAGAGATGAGTTACTTTGAGAAAATCTGCTTTCAGGGGCCTACCACAGGGCTAAAGAGTGTTGATAGCAATCTAAAGGTGCGCCTGCTCCAGGCCATAGTCTTCTCAGTTGCTTGCTATTCGTATGAAAGCTGGACAGTGATTAAGGATGACAGAAGAAGAATCAATGCCTTTGAATTACGGTGCTCAAGAAGGTGCTCAATGAGATTAACAAGGATCTGAGCCATTGTTCGTAGGTTCGTTGTGAGTTGTAGTCAGTTCAGCAGCACAAAACAACAAATATGCTCTCCAATAATAATAGTTCCTGAAGAAGTTTGAGATGAGACTAGATAGTGGGACAGAAAATTTTTACTATAACTTCATACTTTACTATTTTCTAGTAAGATGCATTACAGGAGGAACCACAGTACTTCTAAGAAATAATCTCCCAGAATAGAATGTGGGTCCCTAGTGTGGGGAAGCTTCTTCACAAGGGAAGGCCAAGACACGTGGAAATGCCCATGAAATGCTGGACCTGTAGATGCTGAAGGAAACCAGGACTTTTCCTCCAGCCAACAGAGAGAGTATGGCACATCTCAAGAATGAAGCTGTGTTAAAAATGCCATATCTTATATGTTGTTATTCGTCACTAAGTTGGAATTGACTCATAGCTGACCCTCCAGCAGGTTTTCAGAGGCTATAAATCACCTAGGAGGAGGTCACCCATCTTTTTTCTCATGGAACAGCTGGTAGATTTGAACCATGGCCCTTTGTGTTGGCAGCGCAACTCACTAAGCCACCAGAGCATAATTAACTCAATTAAATTCATTGCTGTAGGGATAGAACTGACACATACTGAATGACCATTGCATTTCCAGGGCTGTCAGAGCCACTAATGGAAGCGCCAGAGAGGTGCAGTCTTTGGCTTAACAACACAGTTCCTTATGGACTGCCAGAGTGTGCACTTTTTAATTTGTAGCCTACTTATATAAAATAAGGACACTCTTGTGGTATAGTTTCTAAGGAGTTGTGGTTCCAGTCTACCAGTGGTTCCAAGGGAATAAGGTGATCCTACTATGATTTAACCTCACAGGTTCAACGAGGGTCAGCTATGAATTAGTTCAGATTTGATGATGATTAAAATAAGAAGTGATAAAATACCAATGTTAAGTATATTACTCATTCAGAAACCTATATTAAAATGGTGTTCATGTGTAAAATAGCGTGATGAAACACTGTGTTATATACCAGGATATATAAGAGTACTAGGAGCACTCTTAGTGGTCTAAGTGGCAAGAAGCTGCACTGCAATCCCAAAGGCAAGCTGTTAGAATCCAACAGATCTCTACTGGAGAAGTAGGGACTATCTCCTCCTGTACCAGTCGGATTGAATTCAATGGCACACAACAACAACAATGATGGAAAAAAAAAGAATTTTTAAAAAAAAATTCTCTTAACATAATCTTAAATTTAAGATTTTAAGACCTCTTAAAATATTTTCATAAAGTGATTTAGGGAAAAATTCATTTCCCCCCCATTATTATGGGATTCTTAAAAGAAGAAATAATCTTACTTTGGCTCTGTATTTCATTTAATTCAATGGCTTTAAAGGCCTTTCATAGGCCTGTCTGTATTTTATAGTATCTCCAAGTCAGTCACTTCCTACTCATGGCCACACTGTTGGATTTCTAAAGCTGTAAATCTTAACAAGAGCAGACTGCCCCATTTTGATCCTGAGGAGTAACTGCTTGACTTGAACTGTAAAACTTTTTGGTTAGCAGCTAACTCAACACCTAACTCACTGTAAAGTTCATATATATTAAATTCCGATCAATAAGTTAAGGATGTTTTCTCTTATTCTAGAAATCTTCCTGATGCAACAGAGCCTGATATTATTTCAACCATCAAAAAGACATTTAATTTTGGCCAGAGTGAAGCAGTTCACTTATTTCAAACACTGATGGAGTGCATGAAAAAAAAGGAACTTGTAAGTAGATTTCAGCAAAATAAGCTTTTTTCTTTCATTAAATGAAAAATTAGTCTAAATAAGTTTAAACAATAAATCCAATTGAAATTGGATTTTAAATCTTTAAATATTTATTTTTTTTATTTTTTAAAAAATTAATTTTAATGGAAGTTTACGGAGACTTTGGATTTCCATTCATTCATTGTTGCACTTTTCTCCCTGCCCTCCACCCCCTCAGTTTGCTCTTCTCTTTGAAAAGTAAAAGAAAAATTCTTTCATTGTTGTACGGTCCCTTCCCCCAAGTCTACTCCACTATGAAGCCTTCATGCTGGACTGCTGTCATGACAGTAATACCTAATCACATATCCCTTTTAAACAGTTCTCTCCCTCTGTTTCAATGCAGTATATATCATTTATACCATCTTTTTTATTTGCAGCTTTTTTTAAAGTTTTTTGTTTTTTTATTAGTTAATTTCTCTATTTTTCATTTCAATGAACATCTACAGAGATTTTGGAATTCCATTCATTATTTTTAAAGTATGTTTAGTTGCCACATACTGTTCTGTTCAAGCTAAGAAATCATGAAAGGAGGATTGTAGTTTTTATATGATATTAAACACTTGGTACTTTAGTTTTAGGAATTGTTCTATAGCTTGGTCCAAAGAGATGGTATCTTTCAAGGAAGGTTGCTAATGATATTCACACTGTTTGATTTTAAGTTCTTGGAAATATAAAAAAAGATGAGTGCATCCTTGTTTCAGTTCTCTAAATAAATAGTTCTAAGTAGATAGATAATACCATTATTTAATCTGCTAGCCTCATTAATATTTTCATTTTCAGAACAACATGAAATACAATGAGTTGAAAAGTTTTTATGGGCATTTCATTCATCTTTTATTGTGTGAAAAATGTAATTAAGTAAAAACTTCTAATTTTGTTACCTTCAGATTGTTTAAAGAAATATTCATTAAAAAGACTGAACAGAACACATTTCTCAATGAATAACACCTATTTACTAGGATGAGTAGATATATGTTTTTAATATGATAGTAAGGAGCATTCCACAAGTAAAAATATAAACCAGATATGCTTTATTAAGTTTTATTTGGCAAAGACTACTACATTTTCTTATTTTGGAAGTAGAAGTTTGAAAAGCTATTTTTTTATAAAAAATTTAATATCCAACATGTAATTTGAAGTTATTTTCTGTTTTATGATAAGTTAGCTTTAAAATATAGTTGGATAAATATTTAAATAATTAATCTTTAAATAGATTACTGTTTTCCACATTGGATCAGATGAGCATCAGGACATAGATGTAGCAATCTTAACTGCACTGCTGAAAGGTAAGGTTTTTAATGTTTTTAATTGTAAGATCTGTTATTCATAGCTTATTTATATAAAATAGAGCACTTTAATTTGACTAAACGCTTCAAAAGTATTTTCAGTATATTTTTCTTTGTGAAGGACACAATGCTTGTTTTCTTTGGTAATAAGTTGAGCTTTTTTGTTTTTAAACTTGTAGAATACTTTTAAAGCTCATAGCACAGTTGGTTGGTTTCGGTTTTGGATTTTTTTAAGAATTTTTGAATTTTTAATCAGCTAAATAATTCTAGTGCTGTTAGATCCTGTCAAATCAAGTACGACTCTTCGGATCTGAACCCTATTCTGTCTTCTGTCACTCTGACACACTTGAGTCCATTGTTGCAGTTACTGTGTTAATCCACCTCCTTGGGGGTTTTCCTCTGTTTCACTGACCTTTCCAACTTTTCCAAGTATGATTTCCCTTTCCAAGGAATAGGCTCTCCTAGCAACATGTCAAAAGTATGAGATAAAGCTTTGCCATCCTGGCCTCCAGTGAGTACACTGCTGTACCTTTTACAAGACATATCTGTTCTTTTTGGAAGTCCATGATAATAATTAGCATTAGGGTCTTGTTAATAGAACTTTAACATAATCTTCAGCATGCTGTTTTAATCTAACAGTTTGGGCGGGTGGGTGTCCTCCATTTTAGAGAAGAGGGAAATGAAGAACAGAAATAACTTGGAAATATCTCAAAGTGTGACTATAAATGAATAAAAAGATGAATACTTCATAGGAGAATTAAGTTAAAATTTATGTAAAAGTTATTTGCTACAAAATACAAATTCATGATGAGGATGATGGAAATGTGATGAACAATGTAGTAATAAAAGTAAATTAAAACAGAAAGAAAATTTTCCCTCTGAAATGGTCCATTTACTCTTATGCTCAGAATGTGTGGGTAACCTTCCCATCCTTTCACAAAAAAATACACATTGATAACAATATAATGCTTTTTACAATTCCTGTAATTGAGTGGAGAAAATCTTACACGTTGTTCTCTCATTCACACAATATGTTAGAAGCTTTCTCTTCCTTGTGATACAAAATTTGCTTTGAAACCAGGTAAATGTCTTTTGCATTCACATACACAGTGGGGAGAAACAGTTCATTTTGTCATTGACATACTATGTCTAGAATTTTGTCTTTCTTGACATACTACATATAGAATTGTGTCTTTCATGTCACATAAAGTTGTATCTTGAAAGTACATAAAAATATATTTTGTGTGCTCGTATGGAAGGAACTTTACACTGTTTGCTCTTTCACACAATGTATTGTGAACATTTCAGTCCTTATAGCATTGTGGTGGTGGTGTTGGTTGCTGTCAAGTGGAGCAAGACTCTTAGCAACCCCACAAACCTCTATAACTGTTGTCATTTATCAAAGTTCATAGAGTTTGCATGTTATTTAGGAAGTGAATGCCATTCCTGCTTCTAAAACATTCTGTTTTCAATAAACATTGAAACATTTATAACATTGTATTTCAAAAAAATTTAATATTTTTCTTCATATACTTAAATAAAAAGTAATTCCTCCCACTGATGTGTGGAGAAGTGGCCATTCTTGAACTCCTGGTGGGTGAATGAGGTAGTATAACATTTGTGGAACATATTTTCACAGTATGTCAGAAGACTTCGTATATTTCTTTTTCTCAGAAATTCTACCTCGAGAAAATTATTTTCTTGAAGTATTTAGACTTATCCACAAAAATATACTAAGCAAAAAATTAGAAGTGACCTGAATATTTACTTACTAGAGGAGTTGTTGGATAGATTGTGGTTTACCTTGAAGAGATATTAATTTACTTTAGGTACATCTAATCTAAATTATGTTGGGGGTGTGTCTGTGTCTGTGTATGGCTTATGAATTTAAGTATAGTAAACTATTTAAAATACATGTTTGAGCTTATGTATGTGTAGAAAAGCACCTGAAAGAATATTTTTCACAATGTAAGCAGTACTGTCTGTCTTACAGAAACAGATAATTTTTGTCTTATTCTCATTTTTTGCATTCCGAATGGTTTGCAATGAACCTGTGTTCTTTTCATAATTGGAAAATAAGTCCTCAATCTTGAGTAACCTCTTATCTTTGGGGCAGGCCACTTCTTCATGGTAATTAACCCCAGTTAATTAATAGTGGGTAAATTAATTAAAGTTTGACACATAAGTGTTCATTTGAATGGTGATGAATTAGTTGACCATGTCACTTATTTTCTTTGTTTTATTAGGCACTAATGCATCAGCATTTGACCAGCTTATCCTTACACTGGCATGGGATCGAGTTGACATTGCTAAAAATCATGTATTTGTTTATGGACAACAGTGGCTGGTATGTACATTATCTATGGATACAACTAAATGTTATTAAATTTAACTCTAGTAATAACACTATTTGTTATAAATGTGACCTAACTTAACATTTGTCTTTTCAAAGGTGCAAAATTTAGTGGTCTATTTCCACAACTTTAAGGTTCATGTAAGATATTGGTCCTCTTGATAAAGTATTTTTTTGTATTTGTTAGCTGTTAATGAGTTGGCCCCAAACTCATGCACCATGAGATTAATTGCTATCTAGTCCTATACTATCCTGATAATCAGTTGTAAATTAAAAATAATTATGCAAGAGGGTTTTCACTGGCAGATTTTTCTTTTTTTTTTTAAACTGGTAGATTTTTACATTCATTAGATCACTACTGCGTAGAGTTGTTATTGTGTGCCATTGAGTTAGAACTGACTCATAGCTGACCCTCAGCAGCTTTTCAGTGGCAGTAAATTGCACAGCAAGAGATTGCCCGTTCTCCCGTGGAGCATCTGGTGGATTTGAACCACATCTTCTTCCCACGAGGCCACCCACGGCTTCCTAACTGGTTGATTTTTAAAAGTAGAGTGCTAGAGCATTACACCGAGTGAACGAACTCAGTCCCACAAGGACAAATACTGTATAAAACCATTACTGTAGAATGAGTATGAGGATGTTTGGGTGGGGAGGGTGGAAGCAGAGGGGTGAAGATGTGTGTGTGGGGAGATTCATCATGGTGTCATACAATTTGATGGGTTGAGAGCGTGAGGTAAATGGGAATGATCTGGTGTGAAAAACAATATATTTGAATTTTGTAAATAAAGTAGTATGAAAAAAGTAGATTGCTAGCGCTTTTTAATACTTTTTAATCTGAAAGCTCTAGTAAAACCAGTTCAGCATTCTAGAAACTTGAAACCCCACTGACAGATAGGTGTTGACTCTACATTAAAACCTCAGCCAAGACTTGAACCCAGGTCTCCGTAATGACATGCAAGAGTTCTACCACTGAACCACAACTACACTTCATAAGTATATATTGTTGATTGCTATCAAGTTGATTCTGACTTGTAGAACACCCTACAAGTAGATCAGAGAGAGGACTGAGTGGACATTGGGATAAACACTCTTAAGTTAAATAGTAAGCCATTATTATTTGGATATGATAAAGAAGGGAATACTTAGCTGATGTACTTGGTAATCTATAGGCAGTTGTCCTGCTAACCCAAAGGCAATGCTTCTCTGGTGGTTTGAATCCATCAACAGCTCTGAGAGGGAAAGATGGGCAATCTCCTTCCATATGATTTACATACAGCCTTCTGAAACCTACTGGAAAATCAGCTATGAGTTTTTTTCCAACTCTATGAAAATGGAAAGATTATGAGGTTTCGATGTTTTCTTTGTGTTGTGGAAGGCATTAATAATGCACCATAATTAATTGGGAGCTCTGGTGGCTTAATGATAAGGAGTTGTGCTGCCAGTCCAAAGGCATGTGGTTCTAACCCATCACCTGCTCCCTGGGAGGAAGGCGGGTTGTCTCTTCTCATACGACTAATTGCCTCTGAAAACCCGCTGGAGGGTCAGCTTGAGCCAGTTCTGACTTAATGGTATATAACAGCAACTTAATCAGGTACTGGCTGTTTATGGAGAGAAAATGAAAAAGCATTACATTATTGCCAATTAATTGAGCTTTGTCTTATAATGTAATGTGTTCGTTGGTTGTGGGGTTTTTGCTATAACCAGAACAGTATAGTGAAAAACATCACAGGAAGCATACCTGTCATGTTTATACTATCACACCTAAGGTATAAAGTTAGCTCATATGCTTGAAAATATTTTGGAAATCATGTCCTTTCTTAGGAATTATGAAATCAGTGAGAGATTGACCAAAGAAATTATATTGTAAGCCGTTTAGTTAGTAAAGTTGTAAGTCTCTGAAGACAGAATCAAAGTAAGATTGAAGTAAGCAGAATAGAAAGGTTTTCTTATCACAAATATATTTTAGGCTGTAATACCACAAAGTAAAATTACGTGCTTTTTTCAAGTATATTAAATCGTATTTTCAAGAACATGAACTAGTATTAAAACACCCTTTTATTAATGAGTACACTGAAAACCTGTATATCATGTGTGTTCAATAATTTAGCAATATTTGATTTGGAGTCTGTTGAAAGTATGTGTCTAAACTGTTGCACAGCCAGCCACTAATGACAGATGTGTGGAGAGAAGATTTTCTCTAATGTTGAGGAATTCCACAGCATTCTAAAAAAAACTGTAATGTTTCTTACCTGGTTTATCTAGTTTTAATTTTTTGAAATTATCTTTTTGTAACAAAACTGACAATGTTTTTGGTTTGTTGTTTTTTTGTTTGTTTGGTTTTTTGCTTATACATATAATATTCCAGAGCATTATGGAGTAGTAGAAAATTGTGCAATATGGGGTATTTTTTTTGACCAGTATATTTTGTGATTAACTTTAGATTCTATTCATATTCTGGAACTGTGCATACTAAATGTCGGTTATAGCCTCCGTTTATTTAAATGATCTGTCCTTGAAAAGGTTTTCTAAATATTTATAAGAGAGCCCTGGTGGCCTAGTGGCAGGGAGTTGTACTGCCAACAATAAACTACATAGTCTGAGTCCAGTGGCTACTCCATGGGAGAAGGATTTGCAGTCTCCTCCTGAGCGGTGTCCAGCCTCTGAAGAAGCGCTGGAGGGTCAGCTGTGACTTGATTCTGAATTGATGGCACATAACAACAAACATTTACAAGCCGTTGGTTTAAGACATTTTCTCACTTAGATTTATTTCAGAGCTTAAGTGTCCTATTGTCAGGAACACTGTTGACCCAAAGGCATATGCTTCTAATTCACCAGCTGCTTTGTGGCAAGATGAAAATCTCTTCCAATATAATTTACAGCCTCTGACGAGCATTAGAGGGTATGAATCTGTTCTGACTCAATGGTACTCAACAATGACAAATTTTTTTGATGATAGGTTTTTTTGTTATTGCTGTCTATTATTTATTCTTCTACCAAAAATAGGGTTTGGGGAATGCTTTTTGGGGAATTCTTCTCAAGTGAAATCTTTTTATCTCTCCCTGTGTATTTTTAAGTATTTCCTCTTTTGTAGCTTTCTAATTTTTTCAGGAACGCAGGAGTATAAATACAAGGTATTAGTGTTTAGATGTGTTTGTGTAATTTAGTCAAACTCTCAGAACGTTGGTTTGGGGTCTTTTTAAAAAATGTATTTTAAAAATTTTATTCTTTTCTAGGTTGGATCCTTGGAACAAGCTATGCTAGATGCACTTGTAATGGATAGAGTTGCATTTGTAAAACTTCTTATTGAAAATGGAGTAAGCATGCATAAATTCCTTACCATTCCTAGACTGGAAGAGCTTTATAACACTGTAAGTCTTTTCAAAACATTTCTTTGTTGAAACAATTCTGTCATTTTTTTACAAGTGTCAGTTTACCTAAATATGTTCAGTCTTGTTGATAAAGCCCTTTATATGTTGTTCATTGATAACATTCCTGCCAGTCTTAGTATGGATTAATGGTTTAACACTCCCAAATCCATTTCCCACTTCTAGAGCCCTTCTCGACTACCATGAGCACATATGAAACACACATAGTTCTCCTTCATTAGACATGGATCTTCTAAATGGGAAATGGGAAACTTCTCTGTCCATTTCTTCTTTTTCTTTGCCTTATTCCTTTCTTAAATCTGTCACACAAATTTTTTTATTCTTGGGTTTCTTTTAATATCCTATCTAGTATATAGAAATTATTTATTTACTTTTATATTGCTCTTTTTAAAAGGAATATTGATTTTGACCCTGTGTCTCACTTTTGGCTAGTATTTTCTTCTTTCATATTTTAAAGGGCACCTGAAAAATTGTTATTCTCTTCACAAAGTCTTTCTCTTTTCATATTTTATTACCTTCTCATGAATTTTCTATGTTAACAATATTAATTATAGTTAACTATGCTTTGATGAACACTTTGACCAAATCTTAGCTTTCTGTGGCTTCTGTGTAAAGCTGTGTTCATTCATTTATCAATATCTATCTTTTTTTTTTAATTCTTAATTTCTCTGTATTATTCAGTCATTCTCAGTATTAAAACGTAAAAAACAAACAAACTCACCCCACTGCTGTTGAGTCAGATCTCCCTCATAGGGGTCCTCCATCAGGTTTTGAGGCTATAAATATTTTTGGGAGGAGACTGCGTATCTTTACCTGCAGAGCAGCTGGTAGATTCAAACTGTAGTCTTATGTTTGTAGCACAACGTGTGTGTGTGTGTGTGTGTGTGTGTGTGAGACACAACTTTAGGCAGTACACCAACAGGGCTTCTTTAATCCCAGTATAGTCTACTGTAATAATCTCTCTGTAATTTCCTTATCTGTATATCTTTGCTCGAATCAGTTTCTTAAATTACGTTGTAATCACATACGTTATATACCTTTTTTCTCAGCTTAACAACCTTTGATGGCTCCCTACTCTGTGTATAAAACTATCCAGACTTGGCAGTTAGCCACATTTTGCCTCAGCTATCTTTTTCACTTGGCTTCTTTTTATCCTGTCCCATGTACTATTTCATACTGCATATGTACCTTAATGATCTACAACCAAACTTCTTTTTAAGCGTTTTCTAGTTCTATATGGTAAATACATTTCTTTTTTCCAAGTATTCATCATTTAACTGAAATTTTACTCATATTTGGAATCACATGACATGTCACCACCTCTGTGTATCCCAGTGTATAGTTATGTACAATTATATCTTCCCCAGTGGGTTAATAATTTCTTGTGGGCAGGGATTGTATCTTTACCTCTATTTTCCTTTCAGTAGTATTTAGCACTTTCACATTCTTTGACTGTCTCTAGTAAACAAACAAACAATAATTTCAAAAATTATTGTTTTAAAACACCCCAATAAGAATAGCAAAATTTTACAGAACAGTAAACAACAAATTCTGGCGAGGTTGTGGAGAAACTGGAACCCTTATTCACTGCTGGTGAGAGTGTAAAATGGTGCAACCACTATGGAAGCCTGACTGTATGGCGTTTTCTCAGAAAGTTGCAAATAGAAATACCATTTGACCCAGCAGTTCCACTACTGGGAATTTACCCTAAAGAAGCCATAACTGCCACCCAAGCAGATACATGTTTATTGCGGCTTTGTTCACAATAGCAAAGAGCTGGCAACAACCCAAGTGCCCATCAACAAACGAATGGATAGAGAAGCTCTGGCATATTCACACCATGGAATACTATGCAGCATTGAAAAACAAGGAACTCATAAAATACTATGCAAAATGGATTTGGGAGTGTTAATGACCTTGGAGGACATTATGCTGAGTGAAATATCTCAGTCACAAAAAGACAAATATTGCATAGGGCCACTGTTGTAAAACGGGACTGACATCAGGGTTGAGGGAAGACAGAAAAGGAAGAGAGGCATGATACATATTGCATTGAAACAGGAAGAGATCTGCTTAAAAGGGGTTTATGAATGGGTATTCTTGTCATTACAGAAATCCAGACTGAAGGCTGCATAGTGGAGTGAACTTGGGGGGAGGGATTGCATAACAATGAAAGAGTTTTTCTTTTTCTTTTCAAGAAGAGTGAATGGGGCGGGGAGGGGTTGGGCAGGGAGAAAAGTGCAACAATGAATGACTGGAAATCCTTAGTCTCTCTAAATTTTCATTAAAAGTAGTAAATACATTTTTAAAAAATTACTAATTGTGCTGAAATAAAGATGATCCCTGAAATACAGAAATAAAAATAATCAGCCACATAAGATCTAAAAGGCAACATTTTCCCAGATATGAAGCTCAGAAGGGAAAAAATAGAGAGTAGGAGGAAGTTGAACACAGGTGGTTACATTGTGAGTGCTGTCATTAATGTTATAAAACAATATGTATGAATGACTAAATGGAAAATCAATTTGCTTTATAAACTTTGACTCAGACAACAATAAAAAAGTAATGTTTCCAGCTCTACAGTAAACAACAACAGTTATTACTAAGGCAAGTTATTTATTTCATTAATTCTTGATTAAATTTTTAAAAGTACTAAGGATATAGTAAAAGCATCAAACTTTGGTATCAGGGCCCTTTTGCATAGAAATTATTAAGAACTTCAAAAAGCTTTTGTCTGTTGTTGATGTTTATCATATTGGAAAATAAAACTAAGGAATTTTAAACTACCAATTCATTTAAAAATCATAATAATACCATTAAAATTAATATAAATAGCATTTTAAAGAAATTTCATGAGAAAAATTTATTTGTTCTTAATGTCAGGCTTCAGTAAAAATAAACTGAATTTTCCTAATTGCTTGTAAATTTAATTTCTTAAGATCATGCATCCTAAGCCTTAGGAAAATATCACTAAACTGTGCGAGAATGAGAGTGAAAAGTATGAAAACTATGAAAATAGTTTTGATCTTCTGTAACTCTTGAAAGGAACATAGAATTGTTTTGAAATCCTTGGATCTTATGAGTTACATAAAATATTCTTTAGATACACTGACAATTCTCAGTATCATTAGATGTCGTATGTTGTTAAGTGCAGTCGAGTTGCCTACAGCTCATAGCCACACTCTGTACAACAGCCCTAAACCCTACTCTATCCTGATACATAGACATTAAAAACTATGAGTATCAAAATACAGTAAAACCCTGGATTACAAATATTATGGAAGACATATATAAATACCTGTTTATATTTTAGTGTTAAGTAAATTTGCCCTTACAGTGAAATTTTAGAACTAACACATTGCAACCAATCTCCAGCATAATCAGTCATCTTCACTTTTTTCATACACAGCTTTAGAATCCTTGAAAAACTTTTGAGCCTTTATTTGCACTAAAATAAGCCTGGGAACTCTGGTGACATAGTCTGTAAGGAGTAGCTCTGCTAACCCAGAGTGTGCCCACTGGTTCAGATCAACAGGCAATGCTGAGAAAAGAAGATAGCCCCAGTAGAGTTTCAACAGTGAGTTAAGTGCAAACTTGAAGACAGTAAAAGGAAAATTAAGAACTATATGAACCTGTACTGACTTACAGATTTGACTTACAGACACACTTAGAATTGTTTATCATTGGTAGCCTGGAGACTGTTTATAATGTAATATGTTCTTCAGAGAAATATGAGTAGATGTTTCATAGCTAAATGTGGATATGTATTATCAAACATTGAGCAAAATGAAAAAGTAATTTCAATTGGTTGCTATAATAAACATAGAGAGAGTTCTGGTGGGCTAGTAGTAAGAAACTGTGCTGCAGTCCTAAAGGCATCTGGTTTAAATCCAGCTCTTCAGTCTCCTCCTGTGCAGTGAATAAGTCAAAGCACCACCTAAAAATTTTCTGATTACTTTTTTAGTCGCAAAGATCACTCCCTCTCTTTCTCCCATTCTCATTTATGTGACCTTTCCATCCATTGGATTTCCAGAGCTGTCAGTCACATGAGAGAAGATTGCCCATCTTTTTCCTGTGGAACTACTGGTGGATTTGAGTTAAGCAACTCTATATGCCACCATAACTCCCCGTCTAAAAAGTTTACAATACAGTTTTGACCCTTTACTGCAGTCTTGGTTTGGGGAAAGCATACTTTGATGTGTTTTTAAAGTTGTTTTAAGTTGACTTTGCAAAAATAAAATTTGTGTTTAATCCACTTGAGTAAAATATATCATGAAAGTAAGACAGTAGAGAAATCCTGCATAACTCAATATATAAAGGTTTATTACCCAGAATATTAAAGTGTTGATTTGATGGTTTCCAAGCTTTGATAGCACACTCGGTAAATAAATAAATAAATACATAAATAAATAATTCATTAAAAAGGAAAGATAACAAGTTCATTACCTATGAACAGTATTTTTTAATTGAGATTTTATTGTAAGTTTATAAAGAACTTGACTTTCCAGTCATGCATTGTTACACATTGTTCTCCCTGGCCCCCCCCCCCCCCCCGTTTGTTTTTTCTTTAGAAAAAAGTTCTTTCATTGTTATACATTCCCCCTCAGATCAATTTACTATGTAGTTCTTACTCTGGACTCTTGTCACACCAATAATACCTAATCATATATTCCTTTTATACAGTTCTCTCCCTTGTCCATTTCAGCGCTGTATACATTATTTATCCCCCCTTTCATAGTTTCCCCCAACCCCCTTGTCAGTCCTCTTTTATAAAAGTGACATTACAGGATTTGTCCTTTTATTAAGTATCTTAAGTTATAAAACTTGCAATATTTGCATATTGTTTTTAAAAAAAGATCTTCAATATCATTTTATTAATTCTCTGAAAGAATTCATCTTCTTGAAAATACAAGGAGCGTTGGTGCCTCTGTGGATTAATTATTGGGCTGCTAACCAAAAGGTCAGCTGCTTTTAACACCCTAGTGTCTCTCCAGTAGAAAAGATGAAGCAGTCTGCTTCTACATACGTCTCTGTGTGCTGAGGCCTGAAGGGCAGCTCTGCTCTGTTTTATATGGTTACTGTGAGTCAAAACTGCCTCATTGGCAGCGAGTTTTTTATTTTTGTGATTGACTTTTGGGAAGTATTTTAGACACTATGGCATGATTATGACCCTTTTTTGTTGTGGTTTGTTTCATATGTATGATTATAACTTAAAGCAATAACTCAGAATCAATGTAATTGATATAGGAAAGTTCATAAAGACCAATGAGAAATATAGAAAATTGTTTAAGTTATTTTAGAAGGAAAATAACTGTGTTTTGTTTCTTTTTCTCTGAAGAAACAAGGTCCAACTAATCCAATGCTATTTCATCTTGTTCGAGATGTTAAACAGGTAAGAGATTATTTTTGTTTTCATTTTAGAGGCAAAAGAAATGAAACCGTCTTTAATAATTTGAGCTTTAGAAGAGATAATCTGTATGCTTTTAGAAGTTGCTTATTATGACAGTTTCTAGATACTTGCCATTATTTCCTTAAGTCAGATAGTTTCTTTTTTTTATAGTTTCCTTTTTTAAGCAGTACAGAATTTTTGTTAAAGGTGATGATAAAATTTAGAAATTAATGAGGAATAGTAATTAATGACGGCTGTGCACGCTCATTGCCTTTATGTCATAACTGACTGTCCTTAGGGAGGAGATTGCTTTCTTCCTCAGAGCTGCTGGTGGATTTCAACCATGAAAGAGCTGTGGTCTTTGGGTCAGCAGTGCTAGTCCCTACAGACTACATCACCAGAGCGTAATTGTACAGCACAGGGACTATAATTAATGTGACTAAATTGTACACATAAAAAGTTATTGAAATGTTTTGTTACATAGGGTTTACTATAATAAAAATAAAAGTGGAATGATATAATAGTACTTTGTAGTGATTTCTACAAAATTAAATGGAAATATACATGACATCCTTAATCCTTAAAAATGAAGTTGAAATATATATGATGTCCTTAATAAAGCACATTTTTGACGCTACTTCATTCAGTAAAATAAAATTAAACATCCTATATTTAAGATAGGAAACATGATCTATTTTTATTTCATTTGTTTTTTTTTAAATTGGAAATTAGAGAAATATATATATACACACACACACTTCTATGAATTAGACATTTCTCACATGAAACCAGAAAACTAAGAGAATAAAGCTGCTTTAAAAGTACTAAATTCATGAGGTCTGCAGAGTGGAGTATACTGGGCGGGGGGCAGCGGGGAGGATTGTATACCAGTGAAGGAGTTTTTCTTTTGCTTTTTAAAAGAAGGGGGGAGAAAAGTGCAACAGTGTATGAATGGAAATCCAAAATCTCTGTAAATGTTCACTGAAATTAATAAAAAAGAAATCATAATTTAAAAAATACTAAATTCAATGACATCTCTTCTATGATTTTGCAGTTGGTAAGAACAACTGGAAATTGAAGCAGTGCTAGTTGGCTGTGGATATGGCATCCTCAGACTATCACATATGTAAAGACCATGGAAAATTGGTCAAAAATTTTATGAGAATCGGAAGGAAGTCATTAAAGCAGCTTTAAAAAAAAATTCTTATTAAATGTTATTAGTTTTAGTGAACATTTACAGAGATTTTGGGGTTTCATTCCTTCATTGTTGCACTGTTTTCGCTACCCTCCTCCCCAGTTTGTTCTTCTTCCCCGCCCCCCCATGTCTGTTTTAATTGTCCAAATGCCACAGTGCTTGTCAAAGCCAGTTCCGATTAATCCTTTGTCAGTGTGTCCTTTGCCATTCCCTATCTCTCCTCCCTGAGAGAGACTTCACCCTGATTCATAAGGAAAAGGGGATGGCATATTCTCTTAGCTACTTCCTGCTGAAAAGG